GGCTATAAAGTTCACGCGGATGAAGCCGCGGGCAAGTGCAAGTGATATATAATTCCTTTTACTAAAGTATAACGCACGAGTGAAATAAAAACTAAAATGAAAAAGCAGACCTTGATGTTCTAACGCCTTCGGAGGCCCTAAACCTTGCAACAAGTAGTACCCAACCAAGGGCTGGTAATGGTAATAACAGGGCCGCATGCGTACTGTGTACCACAGTACATGCAGTTGCAACTCGACAAGGAAAATTTGTAGTCGAAGGAAAATATATCGATGCAGAACAAATAACCTTTATAATCCATCATCCTGTTTTGATGGCCGTGATAATTTAATGAGAGCTGAGATTTGAAGATCATTATTTGGTACTAGGCACAATAGAGATTTGTAATTGGATGTGGTTTACAAAGAAAAAAGCTTGAGGATTATTTGAGTCTAAATTTACAAAAGAATTTAGATTTTATAATGTCGTCTGCAATGTTTTTGCTATATTATTAGTAACTGGCTGTGCACGCAGTTTCACTGCATGAAATTTCTAGCCTATGTGTTTTTGAATTGTGTTGTTGAATGTTATTTCAAATCCAACTCGCTATAGCTATTCAACTAGCTGTGCCTGCGGTTTCAACGGCATAAATTTTGGAGTCTATATGTTATTCTGATGTATAAGCTAATCTATATTACTTGTAGTGTTGTTCTATAGTAAAGTGTCATCAAAATCGGTTGAGTAGTTTTTGCGTGAAAGAGTAACAAACTTCCATCCATCTATCTATCCGTCCATACTCATAAACTTTCGCGTTTATAATATTAGAAAAATAATAATATCCCTGGAAAAATCACACAGCACCATCTAGTCCCAAGCTAAGCAGAGCTAGTGTTGTGGATACTAGACAACTAATAACTATACTATATAGAAAACACCCAGATACAAAGAGTCATATTCATGAATACAAAATTTATACCGTGCCAGGAATCGAACCTGCGACCGCCATATGCTAGATCGCCGCGGTCGTCATTATTATAGATGATTCATTACGTACATTGCAATGCTTATAATAAATGCTCTGTATCGCTTTTTAACTAACCCTCTTGTTATCAATTCCCACTCTTAAGTCATTTAATGGATTTGGCCCTGCACGCCATTACTACTACAAGTATATCCCAATCATACACTCAAAGATTCTCTTGGCCTTATTCAACTGATAAAGGTCAATTTTGAAGGAACATATTATCAATGTCCTTTATAGATTTACTCTCATGAACATCTAACGTTAATGGTCGTGCTTGTACTTTGGAGAGAAATTAATATGCTAGATTAGCTAGATGAGTCTAGCTGAGTAATAAAGATATAGATTTGGCTTATCAAAAGTGCCTGTAGTAGTAACCTACATGAATAAACATTTCATTTTTAGATTTTAAAGAATTCCCAATATAGATCCCGAAAAGTTAACGCATAACCTTAATTTAGATTGATCAGTGCGATTTATCTGTTGGATTCAAATTAGGACATGATGCGATCAATTGAGTTCGACCGGCTGAGTCATTTCTTTAAATGTACATAATCTTAAACATCATCCTATAGTACGATTTAACAGTATTAAAGACGCAAAGATTATAGGCGTTCAATGCTAGATCTAGATCTTAACCCAACAAAATTCCCCCGCAGATCAGAAGATCGTATCGCTCATAGACACTTCTAATATTGCCCAATTTCTGATCTTCAAATCTCGCATTGGAATCACGATCGAAGCCTTTACCTTGTGATCTGTTCATGGTTGCAACCTTCAGACTCTTACGAAACCGACCGTTTTTCCTTCCGTTCGATACTTTACAATAGTATCTCGGTAATTGTTATGCTCACTGGCTCACTGTAATTGGATGTAATATCATACGTAAATGCATAAGCAAAAACGAGTAATGCTATAATACAGGGAGGTCATAAACATTAAAAATGTTTTGGTTCTACAAATTAATTAAGGTCATTTCCACTTGTTTATTCCAACGTGGTAATAGTAAGCTCTTTCTGTTATGAGGAGAAATTGGGCCCAGTGCTTTATTAGCCAAAATCAAGACCAATCTTAAAATTCAAATCCAAATGAAACTTCTTACGTCCGTATTTTTAATCTTTCAATTTGCCGCCGCTGTCTGGACGGTTATAGCTTAAATTACGTAAAGGATTTTAATACAGCAATTGATAGAGTGATTCAAGAGGAAGGTTTATATATATAATACATGCGTGTAATAGTATAGAACAAGCCGAGAAGTTCAAAGATTTATAATGCATCCATGCGAAGCTGGAACGTATCGCTAGTTCTTTATAAACTGACCATTCTCAATATGTTAGTGGATCCGTTATCTGTGGAATTTGTAAGATTTTCAATCACGTTATTATTTTAAGTAACACAATCGTTTTCCGCATTTCTTTGTTCTACTCAATCTGCTACACTTTAAGATAAACAGACCAGTCATGGCCGGAGACATTTGGCTCCGAGATACCAAGGCGAAGGGCGCTGGGCACGGTCCAGTTACATTATATTACGCAACAACAATGCTATTTATATTCTTCATTTGCGGTTTCATGGTATTGGCCAAGGGATCCCCTGGCAAGATGTTGTCGTAGAGTTGATCATGATCAATTCTACGAATGTATGAATGATGTATTTAGTATTTATTAAGATATATATGTATTCGGTTATTGAAAAGTATTTTGTTTCAATACCAACTTAGCTATTCCTTATAGTCTATAAGAATACCCATCTATATTTATTCTAGATAATTTAAAATGATTAAATATTTTCAGCTTCTGATAGGACATTAACGAATTTATTTTATTATGAACATAATTACAGAACTTCTTATAAAATACATTACTAAGACTCTATCAAAGTTACATACCAATAAATGTTTACAACATAACATATTGAATACCTAAATTAATTAGTAATTAATTTTTAACGAACGTACATTACTACAATTGCATCATTAAAACAATTTTATTTTCAATGACACGTGGAGCCGTTCGTTTCTGGTGAACATTATTTAGCAATATTGTCAAACTTTGGTCTTCGAGTTACTTCCTTAACTCAAGGCAAATTAGAAGATCCATGGACTCGTAACAAACGGGAGAAAGAAGATTTTGACTAAGGGCGATACTCCTAAGTGTTAGATTTAATTTATTAGATTAGTGATGTTTAATTATGACATATGTATTTCCATGTGTACAATTACGTAAATATGGTCCATCTAGTAAACGAAATGAGTTCTTCATATATTTACCACGATAGGCTAACCGATTCGATTTCATACTTATTAACATCTTCCACTGGTGACCCCTAGATTATATCTGTTTTATCATGTTCATAAAATACTAAAATTTACAGTTACCTTCAAAATAATATTAGTAAGATAAATAAATGATGCAATAAAAGCAAACAATGAAATGCGTTTTCCCACAAACAAAACAATATAGTAATCAACAGAAGTCCTCGCCGATGAAAAGGACAAGTTCAAAGGGAAAATGAAGGACTAGACAAAGTAATAGCGATGACGTGGGAACTGCATAGTAGGAAGAGCATTGATGCAAGCAATTTAGCAATCGTAGCGAGGACAGTAGACAGCAACAAGCGGTGACAGGTGGTAGGGATATCACGCCCACCGCTAGCAGCGCTTGTTATTAATACGCGATTGTTATTTTCAAACCACATCAAAAACAATGCACTCAATTTTATATATTCTTTTTGCAGCCGTCGAATAAGTTGTCTAACTTAATTTAAAGGATAATTTATGGAATTAGATTTAATTTTGCCGTCTATTTCATTACTTAATGGATTTATATTATTTTGTTTATTTCCGCTGCTATTAGCATTGTGAAACCACAAATTTTCAATGCTGATAATCGACCACCTCTACTGGAGGAGTCATAAGCTTCGTACCAACCAGACTCCAGATCCCAGGCGACCTAAACGGACCAATTAAAATAATACAAAGTACTTTATGACATTGTATTTTTGTTGTATAGTTTTTGGGGTATCCTTGTGATGACAAGCAGTAGTTACATATTCATTTTCTCTAAAATGTACATCAACTCGTATGGAGATTTGCCATTGATCGAAATCCGTTGCTTTTGTTAAACTCTTCAAATAACAAATTCCTGGTTTTACAAAACCTATGGGCTGAAGATTGTATACTTTAGAGTTCTTCTGTATTTAACAATGACTGCAAATAATTGTAATCCTCACGAATTGTAGTACCTACAGTTGTCTTGTTTTACAAAATTTTCTATATTTGGTGTTGTATATCTAATCTTCGGTTATACCATATCTGGTAAAGCAATATTGTAAGCAGGCATGACGTAAGCGTTAAATACGAGCGTTACAGTGTCCTCACAAGCTTCGACCTTGCAGTCCAGAACAACTTTCCATCCGGAAGTGCGAGTGGCGCCATTTTGCCACCACTGTCCTTTGACCTTATTTGGTCAAGAGTCGGGGTTTAAAGGTAATACAACTGTTCTGACACTAGGTTACGTGGAGATCAATGGCCCAAGACCAGTTTCCCTTGACAGAACTTTCGAGATATCTTCCTTTAATATGTCGCAGATCGAAGGCGCCTTTCCGACCGGATTATTTTCGTTTCTGTACAGATTTGTTTTTAGCAGAGACATACACGCTTCTCTGTAAAGAAGTGAAATGATTTGGACCCGATCAGAAATGCGCCTTATGCATGTATTATTGAATCATTTGGTCCATGGAGTTATAACGCCAAATTGGTGTTTAGGATACGGTCTACATCAACAAATTAAATTTAAACTTTTCTGACTTCGTCTATGTCTTTGCTGACCTCTGAAGCCGCAGAACCAATTTTGATTGGACTTTCACTCCCAAATAAGTTATGTTATAAGGAGTTACTTAAGTTACTTTATGTGACAAATTCTATTTATATAACTAAAAGAAAAGTAATTCCACGAGGAAAAAAGGAAACTAAATTATAAAAATATATAAAAAGAAACATACCGATAGGATAATTTGTAGAATATTGCTATATACTGGAAGGCTGAGTTGTATTTGAACACATTAGGTGAGGACTGTCCTGACACTGCACATCTGTAACAAACAATAATAGATATAAATAATAATAATAACAACCCTGGACAATATAGTCTATTCAGTCCCAAGCTAAGCAGAGCTAGTGTTATAGGTACTAGATAACTGAAACAAATACTTAGATATTTATTGTAAATACATACATATTATACATAGAAAACACCCAGACCGATACAAACAGTCATACTCATGAATACAAATGTTTGTATTGTGCGAGGTATCGAACCCGCGACCAACGGAAGTAAAATGTGCTAAATCTTTAATGTCATAAAACTTTGTTCTCATTAAGCCATTCACAAAAATACTTAATAAATAATTTTAAATAAATTACAAGTCATTGTTTTTAGAGATGAAGTGCGTAGCGGTTTCTATGTTGATTGTCGCTTGCCTAATCCTTGTTAATGTAAATCTAATTAAAACAATATTTATTTAAAAGAGCAACACTCAAGTTTCTTGCTCATTCTTCTTGTGTTGAATCTGCATTCCGAATGAGAGATAGAATAAAAAAATGTGACTATTCAAACGTGCTTATATTAAGTTTATTTGAATAAAGATTATTTCTATTTATTTCATTATGAATTCTGTTGTATTTTTATAATTCTTACGTACATACATAAACATTGTTGAAACCACAAGGTGTACGAAGTTTTTTTGGTTTTATTGGTTGGTTTCAATCTGGGCACAAAAATAAAATAAATAATAAAATAATAATAGATATGATATTTCAATAAAACCAAATTACAGCGAGATCCAATTATTGTACAGCGCCATCTACTGACGTTGCGTGCAAAGAATATTATTTTATTTTGAAATATTCTAATTTTAAATTTATTTGAATAAAGAATTTCATGTTCTAATTTTTATTTTTATTTTATTTATGATAGGATTTTATCATATTTTCATTTTAAATTTATTTGAATAAAGAATTTTCTATTCTATTATTCTAATTTTAAATTTAATTATTTTGTTATGATAGATAATAACCCGCAATGCGACTGGAGTGAGAGGGGTGCTGCATGCAAACCTCATAGCCTTCGACAAGCAGTGGAACCTGGCTCTGTCTGATGTACTAGAAATTTGGAAGCGCAAAGCACCGCGAAAAAGGAAAATACCTCCAGGCATGGGTATGAGAAGCCTATTTCTATTTTATTTGTTACTAGCTGTACCCGCGACTCCGTCCGCGTGGAATTTAACTATTTAATAAAAGTAGCCTAAGTTACTCCTTATTACATCAGCTATCTGCCAATAAAAGTCCCATCAAAATCGGTCCAGCCATTTCCAGAGATTAGCCGAAACAAACAGACAGACTGATAAAAATTGTAAAAAATGTTATTTTGGTGTATGTACTGTATTTATATTCATATGCATGTAGTAAAAAACGGTTACTTTAATATTACAAACAGACACTCCAATTTTATTTATATGTATAGAAGTGTACTAAACGCGAAAGTTTAAAAAAAAAGGATTGTCTTTAATTTCAAATGCTTTTACAAATGTAGCCCTTTTCTATTGTTGTTAACTCTATCTATATTCACGGTCAGTCACTTACATTGTAGACAGAATCTCTTGTTAAGTTGACATTTATTCTTTTTTTTTCGATTCAATAGCGTAATAAATGATTATTGTTTAAAATTAGAGAAATATTTAAACAAACTTTATATTGACAGTCCCAGTGGTCTAGTGGTTTAGTACACCGTCTTGCTTCCGACGGTCGCGGGTTCGATTCCTCGCACGGCACAAACATTTGTATTCATAAGTATGATTGTTTGTATAAGTCTGGGTGTTTTCTATGTATTTGTGTATCAGTTGTCTAGTACACATAACACAAGCTCTGCTTATCGTTGGACTAGACGCTGTGTTAATTGTCCAGGGTTATTTATTGAAATGTGTATGTTTTTTTTATAATCTTTTACGGTTCTGGATACAAGTCTTTTTGAGTCGAATCTCAACAAGTTGCAATACAAAAGACAAAGTCAATATCATTTGTAAGCTCCTAAAATAAATTATGATTAATACACTGAAGTATGAATTAATTACTCAGAGGAAAATAATTTGTTCTATTTTTGATATTGTATCAAAAATATTTGGATAATTATTGACGTCGACAATTTGCACAGTTGGCAATAGAGCGGCGTTGTGACGCGGGAGACATTTTGTTTATGGTACCTAACCATTTTTTTTTATTAATTCTGCATATGGCCGCACTAACTATAGGTAAGTACCTATAGTTAGTGCGAATAATACATAAATAATCAAGTGATTATTTATGTATTTTTTTATTGATGACTAGTTACTCGTTACGGCTTCACCTGGGTGTACATGTATTATACATATAAACCTATCTCTTGGATCGCTCTATCTATTAAAAAAAAAATCCGTTGCGTAGTTTTAAACATTTAAGCGGACGGACAGACAGCGACAGCGACTTTGTTTTATACTATGTAATAATAATGACAATGGAATAGTACATCTGTCTGCGGTGCACCGCGCTGCACTATTTGTTTAGGAGATGATAATGGAATGGTGCACCCGCCTGCGCTAACGGTTTACGCTGGCGGGGCACCAGTGGAGGATGATAAGATGAGCATGAGGTCAGGTCAGTTAGCCCATCGTGACAAATTCACCGGATATTAATTGTCCTATTTTTGAAAGTGCCCGTTACGACCATGAACAAGTGTGCCGAATGCATAAAATTGACTCCCCCTACAAGTTGACCAGTATCATTACGAAGCCGGAAACTCTGACTTCTTATGATGCACTTGCTAAAACAATAGTGAATAATTTAAAAAAGATAAATAACACATAAGACTATAAATGCGTAAATACATAAAATATAATATTATAGACGACCTCGGTGGTCTAGCGGTCTAGCATACCGCTTTACGACCGATGGTCGCGGGTTCGATTCCTCGCACGGCACAAACATTTGTATTCACGAGTATGATTGTTTGTATCGGTCTGGGTATTTTCTATGTATAATATGTATGTATTTAGGAAAAAAAAAATATCTATGTATTTGTATCAGTTGTCTAGGACCCATAACACAAGCTTTAGCTAGCTTAATTTGGGTCTAGATGGCGCTGTGTGAATTGTCCTGAGATTATTATTATTATTATTATTATATATGTATATATAAACATAAACTATTTATTATATAAATAATGTAAATATGTATATGTGTGTCATCTATTTAAATATATATGATAAACACCTAGTGAAACACAACTAGCCCTACAGAAACTTCTGCTGTATCAAATCGCAGCTGAAGTCAATACATGTTAATAAAAAAAAAAATAATAATAATGTCAGTGAAACAAATAAAATAAATAAAAATTCACCGGGTATTTATCACGATGGTTTTCAGGGAGAACCGCGTGGAGGTCAACCTGACATGGTACATTGTTAGCAATGGGATCATCAGTACACATTACTAACAATCCAATTCCTCCCCGCTGCACTATTAATCTATGGCCCCTTAGCTTGAGATTAGATGGCGATGTGCGAATTGTCTATGGTTATCATTATAACCACTAAAATGTCCAGACTTGTGGCGGCGTGGAGGGCCGGGTCATTGGGCTCCCTAAAATATGGTCGACCGCAATGGTGGCTGGCTCATACGTCATACTCGTGAACGGGTGCTGCTTGTATGGACTGATCTGCTCTAATCGATGATGATGATGAATTGTTTAACCGGTTGTTGTATATTGAATGTTTTTTCTATTTTATTATTTCATTGAATTAGTGCTAATTGGTGGTTTGTATTCACACACTTAAACTTAAATTGTAAGTAAGAATAAATTATTTAAAAGAGCAACACACAAGTTTCTTGCTTGTTCTTGTGATGAGACAGCATTCCGAATGAGCGGTAGATTAAAAAAAAATGTTATGACTATTCAAAAGTGCTTCAATGTAAGTTTATTTGAATAAATGATTTTCTATTCTATTCTATTCTATTCTATTGTTTTAAACAAGCAGACGAGATCGCAGGAAGTAGCTCGTAACGTATTAAACATGATAAGGTAGTTTCATACCAGAGTCTGTTATAAGTCTGCCTGAAAAAAGGTTTCAATGTCATTTAAAACAATTCCTTTGCAAAAAAGCTTACTATAATATTGAAGAATTCGTTAACGATAATAATGTTTTTATAGAAAAACTTTAAATCCATAGCACTGACAATATTATCTGATTGCACTAATAATTAGTGCGTAGCGATTTCTATGTTGATAATCGCATGCCTCTTACTTGTTATACTGTAATTATTTATATAAAAGAAACATCTATTCAAAAGAGCAACACACAAGTTTCTTGCTCATTCTTCTTGTGATGAATCTGCATTCCGAATGAGTGGTAGAATCAATATATGACTATTCAAAAGCGCTTGTAATGAGTTTATTTGAATAAAGATTATTTCTATTTTTATTTCAATAACAATACGTGTAACAATAGAATACTAGTGTACTAAAATAAATTGTAAATTGTATTTTGTATTTAGAACTAAATGTATTGTTCTATTTTTAAAATTGTATATATATTGACAGTCTCGTTGGTCTAGTGGCGTAGCATACCGCTTTACTAACCGATGGTCGCGGGTTCGATTCCTCCACGGTACAAACATTAGTATGCATGAGCATAACTGTTTGTATCGGTCTGGTGTTATCTATGTATAATATGTATTTATTTACAAACAAAAATATCCATCTATTTATCTCACATATCTAGTACCCATATATATATATATGTGTATGTATGTGAGGTCAGCCAGTGCGTCGCCAATTTGTACAGTTGGCACCAGTTTTTCGGTTGGAAACCGGCTGTTATGACGTAGTGATACTATGTACTATATATATATATATATATATATGTATATGTATACAGATGTACCGCCTTCCTATATATTTGGCCAATGATTGGCCGGTACAAAACGCCTTCCGGTGTTAATTCCGACATATGTACACATTGTTTTATATTGTGCATTTAAACTTAAACAAATTTAAGTGTCTTTTTGTAATTTCAAATTAACAGCTTATCACTAACTGCATGAAAGTACCCCATCGATCGATCCCCGTCCAATTCAAACGGGGATTGAATTCACGACGGCCTGAGCCCAAGTTCGAACCCCTAGCGGTGCCCTCAGACTAGTCGTATCCGTCAGGCGGGAGTTGCCATTCAGCCGCTCCATAAGTCCTTCCTTGGTTTGGAGTGCCATCTGCTCTCGCCCTCTATCATTCGATGAAGCTGTAAAGGCCAGCTGCAGATAACAGCATTCGAGTAGTCCGAAAAATTTGTAAACGTATCTAAGGTACTTGCATCAAAAAATCTCTTAAACAACTAGTCCGATTTTGACGGGACATTCCATGCGGTCGACTTAACATGGTACATTTCTAACAATGATGACCTCTGTAACTGAAAAGTCAATTTTCAGTATAAAAAAAACGTCTATCGTATGAACAATCCAAGAATAGAATAGAAAATCATTAATTGAAATAAACTTACATTGAAGCACTTTTGAATAGTCATCACATTTTTTTACATCTACGGCTCAGTCGGAAAGCTGTCTCATCACGAGAAGAATGAACATGAAACTTGCGTGTTGCTCTTTTAAATAAGACATTATAAGACCCTAACAAGAAACCCCTCTTTTAAATGTAGCTATAGATAATTTGGTGATGTAACTTGACAGGTGTGCCAGTTGCCAAGGGTTCTGCTGCAGCTATATCACCAGTCCCCAGGATAACAGAGACACCAGTGGGCGGTGGACTGTGGGAATGTACCAGGCATATACCCCAACTCGTCGTCCGTGGAGAGCACATCGTGCTGATCAATGTTGTGGAACGGTGATAGGACATTGGACGGAAGGTGGTCTAGCGATTTAGCACACGCTTTGTTACCGATGTTCGCAGGTTCGATTCCTTACACGGTATAAACATTTGTATTCATGAGTGTTTGTATCGGTCTGGGTGTTTTCTGTATATAATATGTATGCAAAAAATCTAAGTATTTATGAGTTATATAGTATCTTAAGTAAAGAAAACAAATTGTAAATACTTACATAATAAATAAAAGAAACATCCAGACCGATATAAAAGATGATACTCATGAAAACAAATGTTTTTACCGTGCGGCCATCGAACCCGCGACCATCGGCTCTAGGGGGGCGTGCTATACCGCTAGACCACCGAGGCTCCACTGAATATGGCTGAAAGTCAATTTCCTTCAGGATTCAGTGGACCGCGAACTTATATATTCTTACACAGGTAATTTTAAGAAATAGTTACAATAATGTATTACCAACACGTTTGTGTTAAAAAAGAATAATTTGACATTGATTTGACAAATGTTGACAATCACCTGTCAAAATCACCTGTCAAAATGAGCACGGTTTTTATGTGTGAATGAGTGTAGTTATTTCGAGCGTAGTTTTGTATATTCTCTATTATTGCGCGTAGTATTTCTTAGAGTTTTTATCTTTGAAATATTATCTTAGAAATAGTTAATTCTTTATCAAATAAATTTAATATAAACACTTTTTAAATACTCTTATTTATTTTTAATTTTCCACTCATTCGAAAGGCAGACTCATTATAAGAAGAACGAGCAAGAAACTTGTGTGTTGCTCTTATAAATAATCGTTGTTCTAAGTAAATACACGTTAACAAGGAAAAGGCAATACCATAAAAATCGCACTCATTCTTTGGACAATCATATAATATTGTCAGCGCTATGTAGTATAATAACATAATCATCACATTATTTACAGTTTATTCATACTTTATATATTTTGATAAAGAGCTCGAAGTTTAATATTTATGTAATTTTTTAGTAATAAGTATAGTAAAGTAAGGAGCCAACAGAATATCAGCGCTGCAAAGTTATCTGCAGCATTATGCTGAGTTGACTGCCTTTTCACTTTTGCTTCCACCTACATTTCTTTTATTAATTCGTGTTTTTTCTGTATCTCATGTATGTCATGTGTCAGTAATTGTGAATAAAGAATTTATCTATCTATCTATATATGAAGTTTATTTTTTAATAAATGGGATAAGGAAGAAGCAGATGATATGAATTTTAATTAAATTTTTTCTACAAAAACATTATAGTTATTTATAAACTCATAAATTTTGTAATAAGCTTTATTTCTAAAGAAACTAAGTTATAAAACATTTGAATCTTTATCTGATCTATGATCTTTGAAATATTATCTCATAGATTGAATAGAGAGACAGATAGAGTTTTCTCTCTCTTTTAGTTTGTTGTAAAACATTCCGCAGTTTCCATAAAATGAATTACTCTAAGACTACAGCATGGGGTTTTTCAAGGGGTTTTTCAAGAAGGAATCACCCCTGGTGTTTCAGGCATCCATAGGCTACGGTAACCGATTACCATCAGATGGGCCGTATTGTTGTTTGTCAACGTCGTAGTATAAAAAATAACATTAGTTAAACGAGTGTCTATGTCTGATATTTATTTTATAGGTTATATTTAATATTGTATTAAAAACAATATTAGTCGTAAGTATTTTATAAGTACTGCTATCTCTAAATCGTCCAAAATAACATAGTATTATGATATGATAAACATACAACATATATATAGTAATGTATGTATTTTGGCATACACTGCGATCACATATAATACATAGATAAGAAACTATTTAATGTAGATAGATAGTGAGATTAGATAATACGTTTATGAGACAAGTGACCTATATTTATAGACGCTAGTGCTATGCACAATTCACTTACAGAAATATTTGCGAATTGATATAATATATATATGTTAAATAAAATAAATCAAATTGCAAAACGTACCTCATTTCCTGTAATTTCACTGCATTATGGTTTATATATAAAAAAACGAATAGTTTTTATTTCGGACTACTCTAATGCTGTAGGCCGCAGCTGGCCTTTACAGCTTCACCGGACGTTAGGGGGTGAGTGCAGATGGCACTCCAAACCCGCGGAAGGACTTATGGAGCGGCGGAAGGCCAACTCCTGCCTGACGGATACGACTTTAGTCTGAGGGCACCACTAGGGGTTCGAACCTCGGCTCAGGCCGTCGTAATATCGATCCCCGTTTGAATTGGACGGGGGATCGATCGGAGGGGATTTATTATTAGTATAAAAAATTGTTTGTATATCGATCTGTTGTTATTATTAAGTTTAAGTCATTTTATTTACTTGCTTTTACTACTATATATACTATTATATGTTAACAAACCGCCTTACCTCCGATGGTCGCGGGTTCGATTCCTCGCACGGCATGAACATTTGTATTCAAGAGTGTGACTGTTTGTATCGGTCTGGGTGTTTTACTCTGTATAATATGTATGAAAAAATATATCTATGTATTTGTAACAGTTATCTAGTACCCATAACACAAGCTGTAGCTAGCTTAACTTGGGTCTAGATGGCGCTGTGTGTGAATTGTCCTGAGATTATTATTATTGTTACTTTGGTTCTTGTAAAATTTTATATTAAAATACTTTACTGTTTTTTTTTTTTAATTGTAGGAACTGTTTTCTGCTAATGTAATGCAGCTGATTGTTGTATGAAATCGAGTGATTAAAAGTTTTATGATTATGAACTTTTTGACGGTTGCAGCTGTGATACAGCTTTTGTATGTAAATAAAATAAATAACTGGAAAATAAGAAGGATAGTATCCGATTATTTTTATATAAAAATAGTATTATATTAAATATGAAATAAAATATTTTGTGTGGTTTTATTTTGTCGTATGATTTTTGTTTATACTAGTGTATATATATATAAAATATGTTGTAAAGAGCAAAGATTTTAATATTTGCAAATGTGTATTAATGCGTCACAAAAAGACAGACACATTTCTAGAATTAGGATTAAAATGGTCTATTCTATAATTTCTAGAATATTAACACATCAACATAGACAATCTTGATTCAAAATATCTTTATTCGTGTAGGTCTTATGATATGTCAAATCTACCGTCAGTTCGGAATGATTCCGAGATGAGAAGAACTGACAAGAAACTCAGCTCGTATTCTCTTCAAATAAATGTTGTACATGTTTACTATAATATAGATTCATTATAAATTAACAATAACAATAAGCACCCATCCACGAGTATGACGGATGATATGTTAGTAACACATTATTTAAAACCCCATCAAAATCCGTTCACATGTACAGTAACAGTTCACCATCAGACGGGCCGTATGCAACACTACTATTGTACAAAAAAATCTAGAACGTACTGCTGTCGACGCGTGTTGCTATGTGAATTTGGGAGATGAATGAGATTCCTATATATAAATTAGCTGGAAGACAATGTCCGGCGGGGCGACGCCCCCTGGCGGGATAACAATGTTACTACGTCACGAGTACATACTCACAATAGAAATGGAATCATCTGATAATACTAGCATTTACCCGCGACTAGGCCCGCACTAACTTTCATCCCGCATATCACCCCCTTTTATCAAAGGTAGAGTTTTAAAAGTCGTTAGCATGGCTATACTAGTTTTTATATGATAATGGAATGGTGCACCCGCCTGCGCTAACGGTTTACACTGGCGGGGCACCAGTGGAGGATAAGATGAGGGTGAAGTGAGATCAGTTAGAACATTGTGGTAAATTCACAATGGTTTTATCACGGTGGTTTACAGGAACCAGGTGGAGGTCAACCTGACACGGTACATTGCTAGCATTTGTAATTCGGAAGTACACTCTGATACATCGTTAAATTGTTATTTTTTTTAAAAATAAACATAAATGAAATTTAAATTGTGATCTTAATTTAATTTAAATAGTAATTTCTAAAAAATAAAACGAAAATTCAAATTTGGAAGCAAGAATTTCGGAAGCAGACATTTCTTCGTTGCATTGTTATTTATTTTAGAAATAAAAATAAGTGAAATTTAAATTTCGAATTATGGAGGCAGACACAGCTACGACTTTTAAATGTTACTTCTTTTAATAAATAAAAAACAAAATTCGAATTTTTAATTCGGAAGTAGAGTCTGATAAGCGTTTAATTGTAATTTATGATAAAAAATAAAAAAAATATTCGAATTTGGAATTATGGAGCCTTAAACAGATACGTCTTTTAAATGTAATTTCTTTTAATGAATAAAGAAACAAATTTCAAATTTGGAATTGGAAGACGTTGCAGTAACCTCATTATAATTATTGCTTATTAAAAAATTCAAAATTCGAATTTGGTCTTGGAAGAGTAATCAAATTTCTATTGTTGATTCTTAAAAAAAAACAATTCGAATTTGGAAAACGCAGTGACCAGTGCCAGTCGTGGCGTGGCGGTGGCGAGCGGCGGCCGAGGTCGACGCACGGTCGTCGGCGGTCACCACTCGGCCGCGGGATCGACGCCCGCGGCACCCCGCATGAAAATGGGAAAACAATTGTTTCAAACAATGCGTACACTCGCGCTTCCGTGTTAGGGCGTGAGCTTCTTGTAATAGGTTATGGGCCTTGTACTTTATGTAACGTAGGCTCATTACGTTAGTTTTTCTAGTACGAGCTAGTTTTTATAGTAAACACCAAAAAGAGCTAATAATAATAATAATAATAATATATTTATTTTTCTCCACAAAATCATACATATTATAGAGTGCTGCAGAGCCTTTGAGGCATGTAAAATTCTATGCAAAAATACAGATTTGTGGAGAACTGGTGCTTGTACTAGGTATCCTAAAAACCTGTATCACGGGTCACCAGGTCCCCCCACTAGATCTTACATGCTAAAATTTATATGTAGGTACATTAGATGAAGGCTATGGCTACTATATTTAATGATACAGAGAATTAAAGCTATTAATTAAGTTACTAAATGTAAATGCAGGTTTGATTTGATATTTTCTCATATCAAATCAAATATCATTATTCATATAGGTCTATTACAGACTCGTATATGTCAAATCTACCGTCAGTTCGGAGTGCTTTCGAGCTAAGAAACTCAGCTCTTATTCTTTTCAAATGTGCTTAGACATGTTTACAAATAGGCAGATTTATTTTTAAATTGAATGAGTGAGAATATAATGTAGTAGTATATTCCATTGGAATTTTGTCAAAAGGAAAATAGGTTCATCAGTGGCCGTAATCCGAAATAGACATCAAATCTGCAACTACATGAATTAATATTATTTTAGTTACAAATATATATTGTTTATTTAATGTATATCCAATATATGTAACACTAGCTACTCGCCCCGGCTTCGCACGGGTGTACATGTATTATGTATATAAAACTTCCTTTTGAATCACTCTATCTATTAAAATCCGTTGCATAGTTTTAAAGATTTAAGCATACATAGGGACGGACAGACAGCGACAGCGACTTTGTTTTATACTATGTAATGATAATGATATAATATTTTATGTATAATAT